ACACACACGGGGTAGCCAGGAGTCGGAATTGACTCCACGCACACTGGTGTTTTGGTTTGGGAACTTGGGTTGGAATCCTGGCCCTGTCACATGCTTACCTGTGTGGTGTTGGGCAAATTCTTTAACCTCCGTGAGCTTCCGTTTCTCCCTGTGTTTACACAGGGCATATGTCATTAAAAGTCGTTGGGATAGAAATGGCAATTGAAGCTGTGATCTTAAATTTCCCAGGGATAGTGTGTGCAGAAACAAGCCCCAGTGGTGCAGTGATTAAGTGCCTAGCTGGTAAGCAGAAGGTTGCAAGTTCCACACCCCCGGTGGCTCCACAGGAGAGACGTGGTAGTTTCAGCCTAGGGAATTGCATGGGGCAGGTTTCCTCTTTCCTCGAGGTCGCTGTGAGTTAGGATGGACTGTGCAGCAGTGGATTTACTGTTGTTGTTTTAAGTGTCTATAGTGAGGAGAGGGTTCCACTGCCCGGTGGATTAGGGAACTTGTAGGTGGAAAGAGCCTGTGTTAGGCAAGGTTTTCTAGAGAGGCAAACCAGGACACTGATGAGTGTGTGTGTGTGTGTGTGTGTGTGTGTACAAGTTTATATAGCAAAAATGAATAACAAACTAGTCCACACAACAGTACAGAGCTCAGCCACCTCACTTTCGTGGGACAGTCAATGTACTAAAGGTGCTTCCAACTCGTGCAGCCTAGGAACCAGACAGTAGGAAGATCAAGTGGTGAGGGTCACAGAGGCCAGGGGTGCAGCCTAGAGAAGCACGTCTTGGTGTAGAGACTCAAAGTGGCTGGCAGGAGGTGCGGTGTCTGGAGGGTGGCAAGACAAGCCCAGTCAGCCCACAGGCAGCAGACAGGGCAAGGTGGGGCGGGGTTGCAGCATGGAACAGCGTGGCACAGCAACGCAGTCTGCCACGGCCCATGGGCTCACTTGGCCCACAGGTGGCACAGCACACATGGTGAGGCAGGGCAGCTAGCTGAGGTAGCATACTGGTCGGACCTCCAGGACCACCAGGAAGAGAGAGAGAGAGGGGCCAGCCTCCAAGGAGCCATTGATCTTGGTCACACCTCCAAAGGAGGTCATCGAGCTGCAACCTGATGGACAGGCTAAATTCCACCCATATCTTCTTACGGGGGCCGTGTTGGCACAAAAAAACTCACAATTACAGAGCCCAAGGTGTGGAGACATGAAGAGACAATGCAGACAGCTCTTTCACCAAGTTCAACCGTGACCAAGGATGGGGTTCAAGAGGGTGAGACCTGAGTGTTCTACAACGTGCCTGGGGGAAGCCGTTTGAAAGGAGGGAAGTTAGATACAGAGGGGAGAAAGGATTGCTGAGGGGGGGGGGTCCCAAAGCAGAGGTGGACAAGCGGCACTGGTTCAGGAACGAGGAAGGTGGACAGTGAGGAGGGTGGGGCAGAGCCTGGCGACTTCATGAACTCTCTTCCCATAAAGTAGGTTGTGGTTCAACCTTCTGGAAATCTAGAGTGGCGCTCTTTCCAGGGGTGAACACCCATGGGTTTTCCTGGGCTTCGAGGCCCTGGAAATGGGGTAAGGGTGCGCCGGGTTCTGGGCAGCCAAGGGAGGCCGGAAGAGGGAGGGGGCGCGAGGCTGAGGCGCTGCCCCCTCTCTGACTCCACAGACGTTGCCAACCGAGTGCTGCTGGCGCTCTTCGCCATCGAGATGCTGATGAAGATGTATGGGCTGGGCCTGCGCCAGTACTTCATGTCCATCTTCAACCGCTTTGACTGCTTCGTGGTGTGCAGTGGCATCCTGGAAATCCTGCTGGTGGAGTCGGGCGCCATGACGCCCCTGGGCATCTCCGTGCTCCGCTGCATCCGCCTCCTGCGGCTGTTCAAGATCACCAAGTGAGGGTGCCACGCATGCACACACACGGACGCACGTGCACAAGCCCAATGGGCTGCAGCACACCCACCGCGAAGTCCGTTCTCTCTGTGTGTACTCCATCCCTTTCCAGAGGAGAGATGGCTTTCCCCTCCTTTGACTCACTTCTCAGTGGTCTCCCTCACCATTTACCATTGCCTGACTGATGGCTGGGAGGGGGGTGTGCAGTGGGAGAGGGAAAGGGGTGGATAGAAGAAAAATAGGGGCAGAGAGGGGAAAGGAGAGGCATTCATTCGAGGACAGACAACTCTTCGTTATCTGCCACAGCTAGGTCTTAGGAAGGCACTGCGAGCCCTGCGTTCGCAGAAACAGCTGGTTCTTCCTGGAGAAACTTGGGGTTAGGTTGTGCCAGTCTCCAGACACAGCGTTTCTGGCGGTGACTAGCACACAACCTTGTTTTATGTGTTGCTATTTAAAGACACCTAACAGGGACCTGGTGGCATAGTGGGCTACTCATTGGGCCACTAGCCACAAGGTAAGCAGTTTGAGCCCACCCCCTTCCAGGGAGAAAGACATAGAGCTACAGTCTCAGAAACTCGCAGAGACCGTTCTGCCCAGGGGGAAATTCGTAGGGTCACTAAGAATGGGAAATAGACTGTTGTTTCATCAGCAAGGTCAGCAACCCTGCAAGGTCAGCAACCCTGCAAAGCAGTGGTTCTCCACCTTCCTCACGCCGCGACCCTTTCATACAGCTAGCTCCTCATGTGGGGGTGACCCCGCAACCTAATATTATTTTTGTTGCTACTTCATCACTGTAATTGTGCTACTGTTACGAATTGAGCAACCCCTGTGAAAGGGTCGTT